CGGGTACGGGTACGGGTATACCCGATACCCAACGGGGATGGGGATGAAAATCACATACCCGACGGGTACGGGGACGGGGACGGGGATGGATTTGACTCACGGGGACAGGGACGGGTATCATAAAACCCGTACCCGCCCCGCCCCGTTACCATCCCTATGGACAAGAGATGTCACAGGCGTGACCTTGGTATAGTGTAAGATGTGTGAATGTGATTGTGGCTCCTCACGCTAGTAACTAGGGGTGACACGACCTTGGACAAGAGATGTTACAAGCATCAAGTTCAAGGGTCAAATTCGTTCAAGTTTCGGTGAAAATTTAATCTGAACCAATTAAATTTAATTGGTTTGGATTGATTCAGATTCCATAAAAAATTTTGCTTAACCCAAACTGAATTAATCTGATGTTAATTGGGTTAATTTGGTTTGGATCATCGGATATCCAATGAATCTTTTTAAAAAAATTAAATTAAAAAATAATTATTTTCTCAAAGTAAATATATTTTCCAACATTAACTAAATTGATAGATTTGTAATATATTTACTCTTGGTTTCTTTTCTTAATGTACTCAAAGATTTTAAATGCACTATATTATGTGAAGATGACATTTAACATATTGTAATATATTTTTTCTTGGTTTCTTTAAATATTTGAAAAAAGAAATGAAAAAAAAATACATATTATGACACAAAAACGTCTTCAAAATAAAATGAATGATACATATATATTAATTGTGTAGCCAAATAAAAAATAATAAGATAAATTCATTGGTTTGATTTAGAATGGTTTGAATTTCAAATATGTAAATCCAAACCAATTAGTAACAAGTTTAATTGGTTTGATTTAGGTTGAACTAATTTTTTTTTTTTAAACCAATTTAATTGGTTTGATTCAAATTATTGGGCTCGTCGGATTGATCCGATCCGATGAACATCCCTATTTATGAAGAGAGACTTCCAAGTTTCATTAACAAAACTTCACAAAGATTTTCATAATTATATATGTAATACATTTTGAAACAATGTTCATCTTTATGAACATTTATGTAGGCATAAGGCCAAATTAGGTTAAATAAATTTGTATGATTTTCTACCCTTTTACGATAATTTTAATGTGTTTTTTATTATTATTGCGCATAAAAAAAATACTTTTTTTTATTCCTAATAGATGGCAATACACAAAGCAAATGAAAATAATGAATTGTTTATTTAGTTAAATTTAAACACAAACAAATTCATAAATAATGGGAAAAAAGTGCTCCTTTCTTGTTTTTTTTACCAGTATTCTAAGATTTTTCATGACACTAATTTAGTTCACCTAGAAGATAAGTAAAGTCTGGATAAGGATCAAACTCAAACATTATCTGAATGATTCAATCTTGGATTTAACATATTAATCACTTATTGATTATACTTCTTTTTTTTTTCCTTGTTTATTTCATAGAATTGTCAATATTTTTTAAAATTAATTTTAATATTTTAACTCTTAATATATTATTTCTCTTTAAATCATGACATTTATTTTTAATATTTATTTTTAATTTTATACATTATTTCATTTTCTAATTTGTAAACATTAACTAAAAGATCAATCACTTAATTAATATTGAATATTTTATAATTAACCATAAAGAAGATGACAACGAAATATAAATAAATGTGATGAATGTTAAAAAAATCTATAACCTGTTTTAAATAATTACAATAATTTTTATTATAATATAATATTTGTAAATTTTATTATCTTTAATTTTAATTTCACAAATTCCAAAAATATATTTTTTTGGTATAAAGGAGGGCCAAAGTCCAAACAAACTAAACATAAATTCTATAGGGTATGGAAAACCCATTACATCTTGTATAAGGAAGCAAATGCACTCAAAAGGTGGACTAACTAAATGACAATTGTGAGCTATACTTGCTAAATAGTCAACGACCATATTGGTTTCCCTAAATATATGAGTAAATTTTAATTGTCAATATTTGGTAAGCCGCTATGAATATTAACCACCATAGACTGTGACATACATTCACACCTTTAATGATTAAGTCCATTGTAACTCTTGAATCACTTTCCACTTAAATCTTTCAGTGTCTAGACTCTCAAGCAACCTCAAGAGCAAATAGAACTCTCCATAATTCAGCCATCAAGATATTAAAGCTCCCTAAGTTCCGTAGAAAGTTTGAGATCCAAATCCCTTCTGTATTACGTAGCACCCTTTTACAAGTAGTAGTGACACCTCCTACTTAGATAGATGCATCACTATTAACTTTAATACAACCTTGAAGGGAGCCCACCATACAACATTATGTTCTCAACTAATTCTTTTTATTGCCTATTGCATACGCACAATTCAAAGCTCATTGCCATATCAATATACACACCTGGTGAGCTTCATATTGCTCCTCTACAAAAATATAGTCCAAATTGATAAAGTGTTATTTTGATAAAATCCTTAATTAAAATTAGACTTGTTTTCATAATAAAGATTATGATAATGAGAAGCAAAAGTCTATTATTATTTTAATCTAAATTGTTCTTGATCATAGGATTATTGTATATGAGACATCAATAAATCAGGATAGATCAATATATATGTGAATGTATAACACCTTAGAAC